GACACTAGACAAAAATCCTGATTGAAATCGACAGAGTGATTCTGTGCACTAGGAAGAAGGGGATCAATTAGAGAACCAGCTGTGGGGTAAAAATGTGAAATAAGGTGGTAGGAAGCTACCACTAATCAGGGGGTGATCTTCCTCCCCACAAAAAAAAGTGCTTCTTTACACTTCCCAGCAACTTCCAAAACATCTTGGATAAGGAATGGGAATGCAGGCATATATTAATCAGTTCTGGAAAGAGATCAGAGGAGACGCTTCCGGGACCTGCCTTGTTTTTAAAATGCAGCTTTCTTGTTCGGGTTCATGTGCAACATAAATATTGATAATATTAGGCACCATGGAGCTTCTGAGAATAATTTGATCCACAGTGTGAAGCAGCTTTCTCTTGTAATGCCTGTGATGAAATCCAAATTATCAATTTAGTAAATTTTAGGGTAGACTAAGCTTTAAAAGAAAAGCACACATTTATCAGAAGCATCATTGTCAGCTAGGATAGCATGCCTTTTAGCCGTTTTGATGCTTCCTATTTGTTTCATGCCCACTCTTTGGAATTTATTTTCATGGAAAATGAGCTAAAATATATTTTTAAAAAACCTTTCTCATCATGTTTTGCAAATGCAGCATATAATTACTGAGAATTCTCCCTCGCATACATTTCAAAGAGGATTTTTAGCCATATCAAAAAAGTGCCAAGGCCAGTTGCAAAGAGCCAAAGCAATGATGAGAATTTTACATGAGATAATGAAAAACTAAACACATTCTAGGTTTGTTCTCATTTACTTACTCTAAGATTTCAGTTTATTTTAGTCTTCTCGGCTTCTCGGCAGTGTGTTTGTCTTCTTTGCCTATCACACCTGCCATGAGATGAACAATGTTGCAAGGGGTTTGTTTTGGGAACCTCTTGGTGCCACCTAACCTCTGTATAAGCAGTAGTATTAGACTACTTTACAGTAGTACTAGACATTTTGTAAGGGCACTGACCAATGTTAATGATATAATATTTTTAGGAGTTAAAGTAATATTATAGTTATAACTTTTTGCCCTTCCCAGCAGTGTAAAAATATAGAGGCATAGTGCTTTTCACCAGCCATAAGTGGTGTGAAGCACAAGAAATCTGTTACTAGAATAAAAGTTAGTACAGAAAAAAAATGAAATACAATTGTAACATAGACAGCAAGAGGCATGAATTCTCATTTAGGTAGGAATGGGATAATGCATAATCATTAGTTTATATTTTCAGGGTTGAAATCACAAGTGGAAGTTTAAGGGACTTATAAATGCTGCAGTAAAACTGGAGTAACTTAACCTGTTCTGTTCCAATGTTTGGCACTATCTTCCTTTCTTTTTCTCTAATATTTTATTCATATGCTTTACGTATTTAACATATTCATTTATAGTCATCAGAATAGTCTGTCATTTAAAAATCTATTTAAAACATACATATTTAGTATAAAAATAAGGGGCAATAACAAAATCAATAAAATAACACTATAACACATAGTAAAAAACGAACAATTTAAAGCATTTGAGAATCATAGTGTCATCTGGCATTAAAAGTAGGTACTAAATTTAGTGTCAATAAATTATAGTCAATTGCTTGGATGCCATAATATGAGTCAACTGAGTAACTTATAAAGCCACACTTCCCATACAACATGTCTGAATGAAAACTACAAGCACTGTGGGTACTAGAGTTTAGGGTACCACAGGGCAGATGCCAGAATAGAAAATGCTTGTCTCCTGAGTGCCATCAGTTATAACACCTAAAAGACAAGGACCTACAATATGCTTCTGCTAGACCTGATGGGCTTGGCAGATATAATCAGGAAGAGCGGTTCCTCAAATAACCTAACCTAATAACCTAACTTAATGTTAAAGGCTTTAAACATTAAAAGCAGCACCTTGCATTAGACTCAGAAGCAAACTGGATACTAGTGCAGCTCAGACCAGAGGTATAGTAACAAGTGCCATTCTAGGGCCACATGTAACTGCCTGCATCATAGCATTCTGTACCAGCTAAAGCTTCCAGATACTCTTCAAAGACAACCCCATACAGTAGTCTTTCCAGGAGTTGACCAAACTATAATGACCATAAACAAAGCCTCCCAATCCAGAGAAGGGTGCAACTGGGGCACAACATGAAGTTGTGCAAAGGCCTCCTAGTCATGACTGTCACCTGTTCTTCAAACAGGAGTTATGAGTTCAGGATGAACTCCAAGTAGACCCCCAAATTGTGCACTGGGTCTGTTTTGGGCAGTGCAACTCTACTCAGGAGGAAAGATGATGCAGTCCCCATATTGGCAGGCCCCAAACCCACAGCTACTCAATCTTGCTAGAGTTCCACTGAACTCTTTTGTGCCTTATCCAGACCCCTGTGATCCCCAGGCATCAGGATATGAGATCAACAGAATTTCTCAGTTTGCCAAAGACAGGCAGACATGTATAACTGAATATTATCAGCGTAACGATGATACTTCACCCCATAATGATGGATGAGCTTATCCAATGTCTCCCTATAAATATAAATAGGAACGGAGAGAGCATTGAACTCTATAAGACCTCACATAATAGGAGTCAAGAGCAGGATCTCCCCAATCACCACTGACTGGTGTTGACCCTGGAGAAAAGGAGGAAACCCAGCACAATGTTACAGTAAGTTTAATTCACTCTATTCTTTGAACATATTTTCTGAGGTAAATTACATTTTTAATGGCTGACCTCAGAGGGCCTATAATAACTGTTCAGAAGATAATATATTATCAGTCAGTTAGAATTCTATCCATTTTCCACTCAGAGCTTAAAGCAGTTTACCTGGGAATTTCCCTTCATTTTATTTCCATAACAGCATTTGAGATACTGTAGGTTAATCTAAGAGAGGAAGACTGGCTGAAAATCATCCTGTGAGTTTCCATAGCTAAGGATGGCCTTGAATCTAGGTTTCCTTGGTGCTAATTCACACTATAACCACTGTGTTGCAGTGGCTTTATCACTTTCATAAAGCAAATTCTCCTTAGGAAGGAAACTCTTTTCACTATGTACACTGAAATTGATAAGATTATGATTTGGAATGTAGATACTTACATAGCTGTGTTCCTTTTGAAGTTTTATAGTAAATTCTACTACATCTACATCCCAGCTTCCTTTAAAAGCTGGTGATCAGTGATTATGATCCCATTGATAATATTTTTCTCATATGATTACTTTTTAAGAAGGTGAACAGAGAATTCAGGTTAGCTGAGAGTTTAAAGTCTATGCCATGAAGCAAGCAATCCTATAATAGGATATAGTAGGATGTACCAGAAAGGGATAATGCCCTCTACTCACACACTAAATATAAGGGTAATATGTGAAAAGTGAAAACAGTCCAAAGGTCCTGTAACCAGAGCTAACATTTGGGGAATATTACGTGAGACTAAACAAAGGATCAGAGGAAAAATTGGCATGAAAGAACAGGCCAAAGTAGGAACCTTCTGCGATTCAGGTTCACTAAGGAATAGGGGTGGAAATATTTGTACAGCCCAGAATTATCAAGGAATCTGTCCAAGCTCAAGGGATGGACAGATGAAGCCGTGGTGGACTTCTGTTCAAGATAGCAAAGGGATAATTTAGTTCTTGTAGCTATTTCTGAAAATTAAAGATATAGTAGCAAAAAAAGCCCTTTAAGATGCCCCTACATAAGTTATTAAGCAACTTACAGGAATTCTAACCATGGAAAGTGAAACTGGCAGTTTCTTATGCAGTACTTTCTATCTAGAAAATGCCAACCAGAATAAAGCTATATTTGCTTCTGGGCTGATTTATTATTAATTACCCATTTAGAGGTTATTTTCTGGGCAATTTGTTCAAAAAGCTGTGTGGTCATCAACTGTTGCAAATGCAGCTAAGCTTTCCAGGTGTGTGCTTATAAAAGGGTGAAAAATGATGTATATACACTTTGTAGGAATCATCTGTCTCTTTCTAGTTAATATCGTCATAGAAATCAACCAGTTTAATGTGTGCATTAGATCTTAACAAGGACAAAAATGTGTGCATGCTTAAAGAGAGAGTGACTAGTTTTTTAAGTTATTATTTCAAGTGCAATTATTATTTGAAGTAGCTGCCAAGAGAGTAGGTAATGAACTAATGAAAGCCAGGACAGCAAAAACAAATGAAACACAGTGCAAGTGGTTTCCTATACCACTTATTATTTTGAAGTGCATGATCAGTTGCTGCATTCTCAGTGCTTTTGCTCAAATCAATTACTATGTTGTTTTCTAATTTTTGTTTTAAATCTTTTTTTACACCTGCTCAACTTATGCATATATTCCTAATTGCCTTTTAGTTTTCTCAGATTTAGAATTACATTTTAAAACTAAGACCTGCATTAGTATGGACACAAATGTAGTTTTGTGCCTCTTTAATGTACAAGACTACAAACGGCAGGAAGAAATGAATAAATAAACAAAATGTCACCTTGCAATTGTTTGATTTTCATGCCTGAGCTGAGAATGTGGCAGCATTCAAATATACTATTAATTTTATTAACTATTCAGCAATTATGCAGCAGGGCATAATAGTATGATTCCAAGTATTGATTCCTTGATTCCACAAAATCTGTTAGAATATTATTACATACACTTGGGCTGCCCAGATACAAAGTTTTTTCATGTCACTGCATGCTCAGTAAATGGATTTGAGACTGTTAAATTGTGACTTCTAAATGCTGCTGGGGGAAAAGAGGACACATAAACATCTGTGCTCATTTCCCTTCTCATCTTTTTACCGTACAATTTCCTACAATCCATTTTGATTGAGAGGAATGATTATTTGTTTTAGGGGAATGTTGCTCTCTAACAGAGTTGGACTTTTTCCTCTTTTTTTGCAGCACTGAGATTATGCATGTTTGTGTTCTCTGATTTCTTCCATGTTTATTATGACTGACACCTAGGGAATGATTGGGGTAGATAAAAGATGCGGTGATATGTTAATTCCTTGTGGCGATTGTCATTTTTTTGCAGGCAATCCATCTGGTCATGCTAAAAAAGCCCTGAAGCAGCGGTTCCTCAAGCTGCTCCCCTGCTGCCGCCAGCCTAAATCCATCCCCTCAATCAGCGAAAGCAAGTGATACTTCGTGCCTCTTTATGTTCTCTGTGCTGTGACATTATAATATCCAGGAAGGGGGAGAAAGGATTCCCTCAGTATAGAATTTATATAAAATCCTTAGATAGTTCTTTTCTTAAAACAAACTTTAGATCAGGTATATTATAATAATAATGATATGTTAGTAATACCTAAGATACAAAACAGATACCCAGGCAGATTTTCTGATTGGATCCACTAATATTGTACCGTTGCTTGGAGGTGGAATTGGGTCATTGCTACCTGCTGCAAGTGCTTACTACAATGTGCAGAACTATTATGGGCATCAAGTTTGTGTATTTAATCCTAAACTACTGGCTAACTCTTGCTGTGAGGTCGATCCTTTCCTTTGCCTATTTGTAAACCAAGCTTTGTAGATGGGCTTGTTGTGTTATTTATTAACATAATGCCAGATACACGTTAAGAATGTGCTTAATGTCCTCATTTAGGAAATTGCTCAACTCATTACCAGTAATAATAGTTGTATGCTACTGTCAAAGCCTATCCTATTCTTCCAGGATGTTTTGTGATTTGTGCAGTTTAAATAGTCCAAATGATAAGAAATAAACTATTTTTCTTTCCACTCTTTTCTGATTTTTAAACACTTTTTTATTCTAGCTAGCCCGTAGGAAAATATTGACTCATTAGGGAGCTTTGCAATATATCTATTGTATATGTACTTATCTGCACTCACTCACTTCCCTTCCATATTCACTGCTAGTAATGTACTGAAGATTGTCTTAAACTGAGAATACAAGGGTTCTTTTGCAATTTTCAATAGCTTATTAAGTTCATTGTGATGATTGACTAAATACCCTTGAGAATCTCTGTGATTTACAGATGTCAATATGCACAGTGACTAAAGGATAGCATTAGAGTTCTACAGCTTCAGATTTCTATTTACATATTTGTATTTGAGCCTAGAAAACTGGTGGAGAGATATATATGTAGCAATGCTTGTGTGTTGTACCTCTAACATTTATTCTGTTGGCTATTGTAAATTTAGTTTATGGTTTTACTTGCCTTGCAACTAAATAAATGATCTATCAGCAATTTAACAAAAAGACTGAATGTTTTTAATGCCTTGAAACTTTCTACCCTTTGTCTTAGAAGGTGAGACATTTCTTTTCTTTTTTCTTTTTTCACATTAAATTACTAAGAGCCTTAGTGCAGAGTTGGATAATGCAGGAATATCCTTCAGCTGCAACAGATCTTTGAGTATCCGAAGCATATTTGTCGCTTTGCTGCCAACTATAAATATTTCTCCCACTTGTTTATAGATTTATATGCCTTAGGTAGTATTAAAACATTCCAACTTTTTGTGTGTTTTCTCATCTAATTGAATGTAAATCCCTGAAGTTGTTATTGAACAAGGGAGTTGCAAGCATATATCATTTATTTCTTATTTTCATGGATGATAGGGTCAGCTATAGCCTCCAGTTCCCATATAAACCTGTCCTGAAATTTATTTTTCTCATTTTGATTCCTTTTAAGCATAATAAACAGGGGAACTTGGTTGATACAGCTCTATTATGAATAGACTAGAAATCTACTCTTCCTCCAGCCTATGGTGTGATCACTGTGGCTCTGAATTTCTGACTGTGCCTCTATTTGAAGACTATATCTACAGAGGTTCTGTAGCATGCATACATATTTGAAATATGTTCTTCTATTAGAAAATTAAAAAGAGGCATTTATTCTTACATTCAGTCAAATGTAATGAGCCCTTTTGTGTCAGTGTGAGGATTGGAAAAAAAAATCCAGTACCTTCAAGAGGAAAGAAGATGGAGTGAGGGAAGGGAAGAAGGGACTGAGGTTGTGTCTTACTATACTTCTGAGGTTCTTCTTTTTCTTGCAGACAGCATAGAGGATGACTTTGAGCTCTCCACGGTTTGTCATCGGCCTGAGGGTCTGGAACAACTACAGGAACAAACTAAGTTCAGCCGCAAAGAGCTACAAGTCTTATACCGAGGCTTCAAGAACGTGAGTTGAAAAGACTCTCCTCTTTCTAGCTAGCGTTTCCTTATGGTGTGATTGCATTCTTTCTTTCCTCTCTTGAGTTGCTTCCTTATCAAATGAGCAACCATAATTATTTATTTACTATGTACCCAAGTTATTATAACATTGGCAGGTTTCTTATTTATGTTCTAAAAACTTGAACACTTCCGTAAGCCTTTTTTTTTTTTTTTTTGCAATAAGAGATTTTATCTGTATTATATAACTTAATACCACATTCTGGTAGCAGTTTTCTCTTCAGAATCAATTTCCATACTACTTTCTGTCTTTATTAGGATTTCCAACAAATATATCTTCCCCTCTTTCTAAAGGACAAACTACATTCAGCTACTGTTTATTTTACTTTAAACCACCCCCCTTATTATCATTATTTGGAGACCTAAAGATGATCATGGTATGCAGGTGCAGAAGGATTAATTTTCTATTTACATCATCTCCTTTTCACTCTTCAGTTTAAAGTAAGATTAAAAACTCAACCTCCATTGTTGCCAATTTTGTTTAGATATTTTTCAGAACCTGAAGGGTGAATTTTACAAAGGGAGTGGCAGCTGAAGGAAGAGGCATAAACCTCCCTCTTGATTTTAGTCAACATAATGCATAGGAGTATTAAGAGAAAAAAACTGAAGCCTGCTATGTTTTTATCGCATTAAATTGCTTGAAGACATTATAGAACAGCATAAAATTATGCAATTATGCTATTTTTGTATTATTTTTCACATAAAGCTGCAGTTATACTACTTTCCTTTGAAACATTTAGTTCCATGTAATTCAATAATCTTCTTTTCAATTTCTTCCATGGTACTCTCAGAGGTCTTCTGAAATTCCAAAACTATACATATTCTTTCTATCCTACCTCTTCAAAGTCCAACTTTGCTTTCATAGAGTATCACAGGGAAAACCTATTTCCACACAATTCTGAATTTTGTAGTCACAACATCTAAATATTTTTTTCAAACCTTCATTGTGATCCTACTACGTTTTTTTTTTAAACAAGTTTTATTAATTTTCAAAACACACAAGTCATCATTATCCATTACATATTTAAACCTTTTTCCATTATAAATTTAACAAGTCAGATGAACTATAATTCTGTTTTAAACCATTTCCATATAAACATACAAAAACCTCTTATCCATTTTCTCTTTATTTCTCTTTACTCTTATTCCATTTTATTATTATTATTTCATCTATTTCTTTCTGACTTAGTTACCATTATTCTCATTCTATATTTCTGCAAGGTTTCATTAATTCTCCCAAAAAAAAAAAACATATATACACAACACACAAAACATAAAAAAAAATCTTTTTGGAAAGTAACTTGGACCCAGGTATCTCTTTCTTCATGGACTTCAACTGTATTCATGCTCATCTTACATATCATTACTTATTTTATTTACCATTCTAAGTCTTCTATATTAACTTCTCCCCATATTTCACTCTTTTTAATTCTATCTTAATTAATCATCTTAATTTGAGTCATTATATTTGTATCTTTTGTCCATTCTTTATTGTACCTTTGTCTCATTCCTTATAAAAAAAAGAAAGAAATTTCTCCTGAAATCACTAATCAGAGTATGATGCCTTTCTATCTCCCCACTAAATTAATCAAGTTAATCTTTAAAATAACACCCAATACCCAATCCGATTTTGCTTGGTACATTCTAACTGAATAATACATCCAGAATAATTAAATACATAGTTAAACAATAGATCTAAATATTAAAAACAAATACTATAATAAAAATTTTATAATAACATCAATACCATAATCTTATTAAACTCTTTAATTAAAGCTCAATATTCTAAATCTCCCCTCATATTATTAAATTTTAAAACCAATCATTATTAACATTTCAACATTTTAATCTCTTATCAACTCTTAAGCCATTTAAGTTTTCTATTTCTAATACAATACTACAATATCATCTTATGTACCTTGCAAAATCTCTTTGCAGAAATTATACTTATCCTTTATCCCTAAAAAAGATTCCTTTTTTCCCATTTAATTTCAAAACTTTGTAGCTTTTCTCCACCTTTTCCCTTTCTTTCTTCTCCCAACAAACCTTTCTACCCCCCCTTCTTCTAGCCTCTGCCTTACTAGCTTCCCTTCTCTGTCGTATTCCTCTTCCCTTTTGTTTACCATCATTATATTGATTTTGCACCTTATTTTTCCCTTTCTTAAATGTTTTTTTTAAATCTTAAGTCCTTTATTTCTCTTCCTTTCCCTCTTCCTTCCCTCTTGGTCGAGTTCTGAGATTTATTAAAGATGGCTTCCTCTCCTTCTTCTTCTTCTGCTGTCTTCATCTGTTGCAATGTTTGTTGATAGTTAATGAGCGCCATTTCCAAAAAAAGGCAGGCTTCTTTCAAACCAGCTTTACCATTTTTTTTTTGCTTGCTCATAGTCCCTTCTCAGTTCCTCAATAGAAGGAGCCATTATAAATCTTTTCTTTTCTTTTCTCTTACAACAACCAAAATGTTCCAAAGGAAAAATAAAACAATCCCAGAGTTATCAATCAGTCCAAACCAAGACAGAGTTCCCACTCTCTCCTCCTAGGGTAGTATCAATCAGAAAAAAAGAAAGTCCAAATCTGTTTCTTAAAATATTATTGCAATATATTTTAGTCTTTCAATCCTTAAGGCATCTCCTCCAACAAAGTCTTAGCATACAAATATTTTTTTTTTTTTAGTCCTCTCTTTTCCCACTCATCGCTTAGAGCCAGTTTTCACCTAAAAAAAAATAGGTTTCTTAATATTCACTTTTTATTCCGTAGAAAAAGAGGGTAAGCTATCCTTTCAGCACCATCAAACTGCCGCTTTTTTCCTCTTCTCGAAGGTATCATTCAGAAAGTCATACTTTTCAGGAATTTTGTTAAATATGTCTTAGAGTCCTAGGAACCAAGAAAAACTTTCTCCTTTCAAGCACTTTCTCCACTTCCTCCTGCGCATTCTTACCCGGCTGCCAGCTTCTTTGTGGCGGCCATTACGGACCGCCGCTGCACTGTCCTGGGAAAAGGGGGTTCTGCCGGCCGGGGAGGGGGTCTGCAACACCCCCAAACCCCTCTCCGGATCCCCCCTACCTTTAGCTGCCCCTACAGGGCAGCCTAGCTCCGTACCCGTCCGGATCGGAGCCCCAAAAACGGCTAGCGCGGCAGGGATCGCGCAGCTTCGCAAATCCCTGCCGCTCGCAAAGCCGACAAACCGGAAGTCCCATGATCCTACTACGTTTGAGAGCCAGTTTGCTGTAGTGATTGAGGCATCAGACTGAAAACCAGAAGACTGTGAGTTTTAAGCCCACTTTAGGCATGAAGCTAGCTGGGTGACTGAGACGGTTATCTTCTCTCAACCCTAAGAAGAAGGCAATGGCAAAATTCTGAATCTGGCCAAGAAAAAAGCAAGGATTTGTCCAGGAAGTCATCAGGAGTCAACACTAATTCAAAGAAACCAAAAATAAACAAACAAACAAATAAATCTTCATCGTTATCCCACGAAATGCTAGTCTGCAGCATATTTCTTGACTGTTGGATCCTTTGCCGTTTATACCGTGTTTCTCATATAATAAGGCCGGGTCTTATTTTTTTTTGAGCCCCGAAAAAATGGCTAGGCCATCTTTTCGGGGGTGACTTAATTTCCCCCCCCCCTTTGCATCTTCAGGCGGGCGGTGACGGCTTGGATGTTGACCTCGGCGTTGGTGGGGCACTTCATATCGGGGTCAACGCAGGCAGCACCATATCCGGGTGTGCAACAAAAGGACTTCCTAATGGCAAGCCCCCCCACCATTCCCCCCATTTCGCATGTTTTAATATAGGCCTTAAATTTGGGGGCAGGGGCTTAATTTCATTTCATGCCTATAAAACATGCTGGGACTTCCTATTGGGGGAGGCCGTATTGTTGGAGAAACAGGGTAGATGATCCTGAAAGATAGCAGCTATCTACCACTTCAGTAACTTCATTGTCAGTGCTAAGGCTGGTTGCTACACTTGTTATCCTTAGTTTGACCTTCCCATTTGTTCACTGCCAACACCCTAGCCTAGGGATAACTAATATCCAAGTTCTTCAAAAGGAGGGAATTCTTCTTTCTGTTATTGTTTGATGGGAAAACTAAAATCAGTTTCTCATAAATTAGACTGCATGTCATACTAGGATATTGTAGGTTAGCAATTCCAACTGGTGATCAATGTGCAGTTTTCTATTTGATAGGAATGCCCTAGTGGGATTGTTAATGAAGAGAGCTTCAAGCAGATCTACTCACAATTCTTCCCACAGGGAGGTAAGTCCTTCATCAAAAGAGCTAATATTTTGGAAATGTTGCAAAGCTAGGTAAGTAGAATAAACTGGCAGTTGTTGGAAATAAAAAAGGATGACAGACTTTACATCCTCAGTTATAGCTTTCTTACCTTCACTGCCATATATCCCTGGAATCATCCTCTGCCTCCCTCACACGATAAACATAAAGTAAAAAATGTGAACACTGTTCATTGGATCATATATTAAAGGAATAGTGACTGTTGTCAAGTCAACTGTGGCACTTTTAAATGTGGTCACTTTCTTTGCCTGATATTAAGTGGACATTTTTTTTATTTAAAAGGTATACATAGTTGTTCAACTCATATAATCATGACTTTGGATAGTGTATATCAGTGGTGGGATTTAAAAAAAATTATTAATGGTTCTATGGGCGTGGCTTGGTGGGCATGGCAGGGGGAAGATACTGTAAAATCTCCATTCTCACCCCACTCCAGGGGAAGGATACTGTAAAATCCCCATTTTCTCCTCACTCTACTAACCTGCTTTCCAGCTCCGTTCTCCTGTGCAGGGCTACACAAGAAGACCCAGCCAATCAGCTGGGACTCGGGAGGCAGAGAATAGATGGGGGTGGGGCCAGTCAGAGCTGTATTCCGAACTACTCAAAATTTCCGCTACCGGTTCTCCAGAACTGGTCAGAACCTGCTGAACACCATCTCTGGTGTATATCAAATATAAACCAAACAAACAACAATTACAGGCAAGAAACCATACAGAATTGTATATTATCTGTAAACAATGTATCAGATAACATCAAGTTAGTGGCAGCCAAACACAGTCCACCTCCAGAAGACAGTTCATTAATCATCCTGGCTCAATAACTGGGACAGAAAGCAGGTTTTAAAGTTTTCTGGGAGGTCAACAGTGTTTGGGCCATTTTAATCTCAGAGGGACATCATTTCAAGGGGCAGACAGTGCCATAGAACAGGCACAATTCTAGATCCCCATAGACAACATTGCCTCAGGGAGAGGATCTGGAGCTTGCACAGCATGTGAAAGTGGGTGGGATGGGCAGAAATGATCAAAGTCTGGTGATCCTGAAAATAATCTGGCCCTAGGTTTTGTTTTGAAATCAACTTCATGGTTATGTATCACAGAACCATTCTGCAAAAGTGATACTTGTTCTCCTATCCCCAAACCCTAAAGTTTTGCCATAGCTGAATGTTTTATTAGCTTTTTCTAATTTTACTTTAGTTAAAATAAATTTATTATTCCAATTCTAACCTGACATAACTATTGAATATTTGAAAAATGAGGGGCTTAAGGTACAAAATTATTCTTGGAATACTGTATTCTCAGTTCTAATGGAATATAATGAGAATAGCGATGAAATGTTCAGCCACTGCTTTGGGAGACTTCTAGTTATGCCCTTTGTACTTTTTCTATATATATATATATATCCTTTCTGGCCTGTAAAAGATAAACACTATACTACATAGCTCTCTCAATTAGTTTCACAGAAAGTGAAATAACAGGATGCTACATTGGTTGCTGATACAGTTTTAACAGTACTGTTTCACTGTTACTCACTTGTTACTAAAACTATTCTTAATTTGATATGTATTTGAATTAATGCATGCCCTTGTGTTAACAAAAGAGGATAAATGTTGAAATAATTATAACTTTTGTAACTAAGGGTAAGAGATCATCATGTTATGGCATCTATAATTTCAAAAAAGTTGCAGCTTAGCTATTTTCTCTAATAGTTGCCTGATAACCAAATGATTCAATAAAATCAGCTAAAATATGCATACATGGTACTTCTTACTAGATTTGATATATCTGTTTTTAGATTCTAGTACATATGCAACTTTTCTTTTCAACGCATTTGATACTGACCACGATGGCTCTGTCAGTTTTGAGGTAAGATTCCATGTACTTATTTATTTATATGTGAACCCCTACAAAACTTCTCTGGGCAAACTACAGACTGAAAGCTACCGTACCTACCCTTATTTATTATGTATTTATTTATTATGTATTTATGTATACAGAATCTGTGTTATGTATTTTTCTATGACTGCCCATCTCACTATGGCAACTTTGGGCAGCCAACAGCTATTTAAAAAAACAATAAAAATGAAATCAAATACATAAGTGTTAGGACAAAAAAATTAAATTTACAGGCTCTGACAATATGACCCCCATGGCTGGGAACACAACCACTTCTTCAAGGCTTTTACAAAATCCAACAGGGTTGGGGCCAATCTATTCTTCTAGTGGAATGATGTTCCAAAGGGGAAGTGTTATAATAGAAAAGGTTCATTTCCTGGGTCCTGCAAGGTGGCACACCTTAACTGATAAGACCATAGCATGTCTCTTCTGCTGGATCTGATTGGGGAGGTAGAAATTATGCCTAAGGATAAATGCCTTCTGCAGAGTAATTAGTATTTTTGAAGAAATTTTATTTATCTTAGCAGTTATATTCAGGGCTCACATGGGCAAATTAAAACATAAATAACACAAATTTGCAAAAAAAGCATTAACCTCCCTTAACCTCACTCCAAAAAGATGGGCTACCATAGAATTTTACATGCTAGTGCTGATGGAAGTCCAAGAATGTTATGTTCAAATAAATACCACGTCTACAGTTAGATTCTTTTTTTTAAAGGAATACAAGCTTCTCTATTCTAATTTTGAACTTTGCCATTCAACTAATCATTGAATAATAGGCCATCTACTGGTACTAACAGAATCTGTATTTCTGTGCTTCAGGATTTAACAGATGACAGAATGCATATTTTAAAAGGGGTGTTTATCACTGACAATACAAAAACAGTATAAAAACTATGCCAAAGATTTCCAGCAATTCTAATTAAAGGAGAGGTTGAAAATAATTGCCCATAGCTGTGTTATATGTATTAAACTACTGAATCTTGAGCAGTTGTATTTTCATTTTAATATTCCGCTCCAAGGAAACCATGAATGGATACAGATAGAATTTATCAGTTTTTTACTGTAGTCATTGGATCTACTTTACATTCCTGTAGCATATATCACAGCTGTAGTAGTGCTTAGGCTGTATTTCATCCTTTTTTCTATCACCTTCTCTCTTGCAGGATTTTGTAGCTGGTTTATCCATTATTCTCCGTGGCACTATAGATGATCGGCTCAGTTGGGCCTTCAATCTCTACGATCTGAACAAAGATGGCTGTATCACCAAAGAGGTACAGACAGTAGCAGAAATCAGCAGGGTCAAAAGATGATGAACTTTGCTGAATCTGCTTAAGTAAGATCCACTGGCCACATTGACTAATAATTCTTTCTGTGTTTTGACTTTCAGGAAATGTTGGATATAATGAAATCCATTTATGACATGATGGGCAAGTACACTTATCCAGCCATGAGCGAAGATGCACCCCAGGAACATGTGGAAAATTTTTTCCAGGTAAGCTTACCATCAGAATATTTCCATGTTAACATCCTGTATTATTTTGGTCTGCTTTTTGGGAGGACAAAATCTTCTTCCTCTTCATATTTTTCCCCTTTCATTTTGGTTCCCAGTGCTTCCCATAGTATAATTCTATAATTATGTTCACAAATCTTTTTAGCAACTCAATCGTTTCTGTCTCCTTAAATCAGTTGTGTCCAATCTTGGTAACTTTTAAGACTTATGAATCAACTACCATGCTATTTGGGGAATTCTGGTAGCTGAAGCTCACAAATCTCAAAATTCTCAAGGCTTTTCTGCCTTAAATACTTTCAAAATAGTATTAATGAGATATAAAGCCATTTTCTACTGATAGGGCTCTTCAGATCATAGACATAGATCTAGGCTGGAAATGTGTTGAGTTCAGATATTATAGGGTGTTTCTCTGCATCTGAAGGTCCTCCTAGGAAACTACATAGTTTCTTCTTCAATGTTCATTTACATTTCAGAAAATGGATCGGAACAGAGATGGTGTGGTGACTATTGATGAATTCATTGAATCCTGTCAGAAGGTAACACCACTGTCCTCCTGGTATTTTAATTCTTTATAGCAATGAATAAGGAAAAAGTACATAGGCAGTCCTATTCTTTGCTCTATAGATAAGAACGTTTATCACCACCATCAGTGAGATCAAGAAGATGTGATATTTCACTACTGGCTCTGGATTTATATTAATACTATTGTGGCACAATTTAGCACAATCCAAGGCAGGTTGTGAGGGAAGAGAGCTGAAACAACATTTTTAGTAACAGTAAAGCTATACTGTCTTAATTTCCCACTTTTTCTAAGCCTTGATTTCACCTTTTCTCTGGCAGGATGAAAACATCATGAGTTCCATGAAGCTTTTTGACAATGTGATCTAGCTGACCATACCTGGAGTCAAGACCATCATATACAAACCAGGGCTTCTCTCCTTGGTGTATCCTGAGGCACTCTTCCCTTGGCTGCATGGACAAAGCAGGCCCAATTTGTGGAGACAATCCTCATGCACTCAAGATCCAACTGGGGTGGGATGGGGAATCCCTACAAGGGGAATGAAATGGGAGTCTTTGTCTGGATTCAATAAGAATAGGCAAGGAGCGTGTCCTAGAATTCACAAACTCTTATTCTGGGAAATTAACTACAAAATGAATTGTTGCCTCCGGACAAAAACTGCACTGACCTATCACTATATAATGTGCTTTTCCTTAAGACTTCTCAAAATCACGGCAACCCCATGATCCTGCATTAGGGCTTTCACACCCTCAAACGGCAATGTAAAGCATAATTAAAAAAGAAAACTCTTGTAAATGCACTCTTACCTTCAAAGAAGGGAATCTATCTGATCTTCACCAAGGTTCTCACAGCACATGGAGTACTCTAATGCTTCCAACAAACGGAGGCAATATTTTTCAGTGTTAAGCTATCTTGCAGTTCAACGCTATTACATTCAACGGAACTCAGCTTTTCTGGAGAAAACTGCAGAAGAATGGCATTTCGCTTTGAAAATTCTTTTGTTTGCATGCACCCCCCCCTAAAAAAAAAAACACCACACACACACAATCATGTGGGTATTTTGTATCACTCCAGACCAAAGTGCAAAAGAACCATTAGGTTTTTTTAGAAATCAGGAGATAAGTTATGTTCAGATTGCTATTTCAGAGAAAAAGTACTTAAGCAAATAATTGGGTCAAAGATTTTCACTGCTCCTTGTCTTAGTAAATAATGTGCAAACAGAAGTAGAAACAGAGAAATCTACTTAATGGAAATATTTAGGTCAGAATGCAATCTAAATCTATTTCTGGCCTCACTGGATGTATCTCTAGATGATGATATTATGATATTACTATTAATTACTTTCTGCAGCTAGATATTCAACAGAAGTACCAAGAGCTCCAGCATCCTTAAATGAGAAACAAAGAGATCAGCTAAAAGTTTTGAATAGCAATATGCTTAATGCCATGGTAATATCTACGTGTGAGGGCTCTGGACTCCTGTGGCATTAGGGCAGAATTCAACATTGTGCCTTGTCTTTGAATTATGTGTATAGGCAGATTACAAGCAGAAGTATTGTCGGATGAAAAGGGGAGAGAAGTAGGGAAAAAATATATGGGAAAACAGAGGGAGATATACCCGGCTGTTCCTTTCCTGTGCCAACAATCTCCTTTTTCTGCAAAGGAACTTTGAGCATTTGCTCAAAGCACTTGCAAAATGCTATTTCTGTGAGTTTGTTTGCTGGTTTTGTTACCGTAGCATTACAGCCTATGGGCCCTTCGGTTGTCAAAGCATTACAAACAACAAACAACTTCAGCGTATGCTTGCTCCAAGCACATGCCAGGTTCCATACAGAACACAACAGTAACACAGACATATTGAATAGGCCCAACAGGGATGCAGTAAAAAGACAGCAATAGGGATGTGCTAGGGAAATCAGTAGTAGAGGAACAAGCGATAAAATGTAGGTCATTTATAAAACACTTTGAAAAAAAGTGAAGCCTTTTTTAAGGGTTTAAGTAAAAATAAAAATAAATACAAAGGTGCCGATAATAGAGCAGCTGTGTAAACTCAGGAGTACAACATGGAAAGTACACAACAAAGGAAGAGAACCAGTATGGAGTAAAATACAAGGAAAGAGGAACTTAACACTGAATACATTAACAAAAAAGTCAATTTCAGGGAAAATGTAATATGGCAAGGGATGAGACCACTTGGGACATTCTGAATAGATTGGAGGAAAGATGCCCAGCAGGAGGGAATGAAGATATTATACTGAATCAAGAAAAGAGGTAATAGGAAAATAGGCTTTATTATTTACATACAAAAGAAAACAAGCAGCAAATATGAAAATTCTAACAGTGGCAAAGCTGAATCATAATAGACAAAGAAGATACCAAAGGACATAGTTATCACTGTATATACCTTTCTCCAAAATGATGCCCACAAATTGACTGGCTATTAGATATCTGAAAAAAGTGTTTTGGACAATACTGTTGCATCTCAGGAAACCCTGCAGAAATATTACAACAGTAGCTTTCAAGAACTCCCCATCAGCACAATCATAGAAGTCGCAAATTGGGAAGATGTAAAGTTAATATTTAATAAATAGATGGCTACTTTTTACCTTAACTCCCCTGAAATAGTTTGTTCTAATACACAAATATTAACTTTAATCCACATTCCTCTTTTAATGGCAGACTGTTCTCGTATTTCCTCTTAATAACCAGCCCTGATAACTTCTGAGGTTTCTTTTTCAGTTTCAGGTCCCCTTCTGCGCTATTAATAATCATTAGGGTACCTTGTCACACAAAGTAAACTCCAAGGACTTCTACTATAGGAACTGCAAGAGGAATAAATATTTCAAAAGAAATGCAGGAAATATTGGATTGAGTTTAGAAATGGAACAGTCTGGCTCAGGATTTATTAGCTATGCAAACAGACTGCCATGCGCATTGTAGCCACAAATGGCTCTTTCCCTTCTTGAAATTATTTTACATTTTGCTACTCCATTACATCATCATATGTATATTAAGGATAACTGGAATCTAGATCCATAGACCAAGTTCAGTGTCATCCATTAAGATTTTTTATTTTAATTTTCTTCAAAGAAACATTTTCTTAATATTTTGTTATTTTTCTCATTTGATATAAAAACCCTATTCTATTTACCATATTTTCTTAGCTTCCATACTTCATTTCTGCAATCTCCTTCAATACTTCCGTTGGGCTAATCTCAGATGAAAGCTGATTCAATGTTCTTTAAATTCTTAAAGACCCAAAATAGTAGCGAGGGAGAGAAAAAATATCACTTCAGTTCCCTGACCATCTACAATGTCCACTCAGGTCAGCCAAAATAATTGGTATTGCAATACTAATAGCTGCTTATTATTCTCTAATTTTTCCTTACAACAGTTGCCTAAAGAGATATTTGCTGTAACTGGTAAACGATGTCACTGGAATTAGCTGGTTCTGTATAGTGGCCATTCAATTTAACATACACAGCGTATTACTATTAAATTTTCTACACTGTTAGGGACAGAAATGTCTTGCTGTGATACGGAAGTTCAACACAGCACAGCATGGGGGAAAGCTACACTTTATGTTTCATGATTAATATGAAGAAATGCCACATGGTGGCAAGATATTTAAATTGGTGCTGATAAATATAAGTGAAGCAAAGTCAGAGGAGTAGCCTCTGGCATTTGCATTAGAGGAATTCCTCAGCCAAGATGGCTAGAAATATGACTGCTGTGTATCATTCTCTTATACTATTATCAAAATAATTTATTCTTATTTTGCCTAACTAGAATATATTTCTTATTCAAAAGTATGTAAGATTTCAATACTTATATAGCCCAATTTGCCATCCAACCCATTACAGTCTTGTCTTTTCAATCAGCAGAAGATATTTGCCCACTCCCAAGTATATAGATATCATATAATCGTTCCAATCGATTCCTTGGAACCAAGAACCACACAAGGATTTACTCGGAGTGCTTTTATTGTTGCTGGCCTATAGACAGGAATCTTGGCAGACTAAAGCACAATCTGCATAACAATTACATTTACCCTATGAAAGGTTATGGAGGTTCCACTCTGGCCCTCTTCCTGCATAGCAAGGATTCCAGATTGATTTGCTCCTTGGGAAAGACCCCGTTCCCTCCTGCAAGTCTGTACCACATTCTACCACAATATCTCACTAATAGAAGAGAGAGGAAATGGAGAAATGTGCAGTGATGTCATAATATAAATGTCACACTTTACTTGTGTCATATATTGGACCTTAAACACGGTACATAATTGCCACCTAGAGTTGCCATGTATGAGATGGGTGGCTATATAAATCTGTGAAATAAATAAATGAAATATTTGCAACATTTATGTGAGGACACCATTATGTACCTATCATCATTTTGCATCATCACAGTTTGTTGCACATAGAGGTGAACTCATTCCTCTATTTTCTCTTAGTTCAGATGCAATTTTAGATCTATGGGAAATTATCCTGAGAGCAAATAAGAAACTCCACATCAATTTTCTGATTACAATGAACTCTACAGATTTTTTGCCATCAGGTTAAAATAAGGGCTTCTATCCCCGTTTGAGGAAGCAATTCTCCATGCAAGGGTACAATTCACATTTGAAAATAGTGTCTTAGGCTATATATAAAATTTCAGTGAATGCAGATTTTCTTCCTAATATCCAATAAAATAAGTTTTTACAAGTATGGATGGTACAGTTTATAAATCTACTCACTATGACCTGCAATGCATGTTTAATGGTAAAGTGAGAGTTTCAATTTGCTTTAGAGATTATGACTACATGAAGCGATTATTTTGTAAAAGATGATGTCATATGCCCTTCTCATTTGGCAATACATTTGCTATTTTTCCCATCACACTGACGTTTCATAAATTGACTCTGCAAATCTACACAATTCCTTCCAAATTTGGTCCTTCCACGTGTTCAAGTCTTATCATTGCCAATCAGCAGCCCAACAGACTAGACAGGAATGATAAGATTGATAGCTCAATACATCTGGAAGGGTTAGTTTGTAAAAGTCTGTTCTAATCTATGTTTCAACCTGACATATTGGTTCAAAATGCCTCCGTATGATTTTCTGATTATTGCAATTACAGTATGTTTTTGAGTAGATGTTAAATACATGTGTGGGGTTATATTCAGTTCTGGAAGTTGGAGACTGATGATTCTGTTGACTGTTCCTTATCCACATACTAGCTGCTTCCTTCTAACTGTCATTACAATCAGCAGTGGGACCAAGCAGCCTAATTCCACTGGACAAGCTCTGCTATCAGCTTTGCATTTTCATCTGTATATATTTGGTATAACAATCACATATAACAATAAAATGCACATCTAACGGCTA